AATACTGGGAAGCTAATTGCAACAGCACATCAAAAAGCTTATCCACCATGATCAAGTATGATTCATCCCAGGGATGCAAGGCTGGTTCAACATTGCAAGTCTGTAAATGTAATTCACCACATAAACAGAACCAAAGACAAAAACTGCATGATTATCTGAATTGATGCAGAGAAGGCCTTTGACAAAATTCAACAGCCCTTTATGCTAAAAACCCTCAATAAACTCGGTATTGATGGAACATATCTCAAAATAATAAAAGCTATTTATGACAAACCAACAGTCAATATCATACTGAATTGGAATGTATCTCAAAATAATAAAAGCTATTTATGACAAACCAACAGCCAATATCATACTGAAGGGGCAAAAACTGGAAGCATTCCCTTTGAAATCTGGCACTAGACAAGGATGCCTTCTCTCACCACTCCTATTCAGTATAGTACTAGAAGTTCTAGCCAGAGCAATCAGGCAAGAAAAAGAAATAAAGTGCATTCAAATAGGAAAGGAGGAAGCCAAATTGTCTCTATTTGCAGATGACATGCTTGTATATCTATAAGACCCCATCATCTCAACCCAAAACCTCCTCAAACTGATAAGCAACTTCAGCAAAGTCTCAGGATACAAAATCAATGTGCAAAAATCACAGGCATTCCTATACACCAATAACAGACTGAAAGAGAGCCAAATCAAGAACGAACTGCCATTCACAATTGCTACAAAGAGAATAAAACACCTAGGAATACAACTAACAAGGGATGTGAAGGACCTCTTCAAGGAGAACTACAAACCACTGCTCAACAAAATAAGAGAGGAAACAAACAGATGGAGAAACATTCCATGTTCATGGTTAGGAAGAATCATTATCGTGAAAATGGCCATACTGCCCAAAATAATTTATAGATTCATGCTATCCCCATAGAGCTACCAATGGCCTTCTTCACAGAACTGGAAAAAACCTCCTTAAACTTCATATGGAACTCATATGGAACCAAAAGAGAGCCCACATAGCCAAGTCAATTCTAAGCAAAAAGAACAAAGTGGGGGGCATCACACTACCGGACTTCAAACTATATTACAAGGCTACAGTAATCAAAACAGCATGGTACTGGTACCAAAACAGAGATATAGACCAATGGAAAAGAACACAGGCCTTGGAGGCAACACAACATATCTACAACCATCCAATCTTTGACAAACCTGACAAAAACAAGCAATGGGGAAACAATTCCCTGTTTAATAAATGGTGTTGGGAAAACTGGCTAGCCATGTGCAGAAAGCAGAAACTGGACCCCTTCCTGACACCTTACATTAAATTAACTCCAGATGGATTAAAGACTTAAATATAAAACCTAACACCATAAAAACCCTAGAAGAAAATCTAGGCAAAACCATTCAGGACATAGGCATAGGCAAGGACTTCATGACCAAAACACCAAAAGCATTGGCAACAAAAGCCAAAATAGACAAATGGAACCTAATCAAACTCCACAGCTTCTGCACAGCAAAAGAAACAGTCATTAGAGTGAATCGGCAACCAACAGAATGGGAAAAAAATTTTCAATCTACCCATCTGACAAAGGGCTGATATAGAGAATTTACAAAGAACTAAAACAGATTTACAAGAACAGAACAAACAAGCCCATTCAAAAGTGGGCAAAGGATATGAACAGACGCTTTACAAAAGAAGACATACATGAGGCCAACAAACATATGAAAAAAGGCTCATCACTGGTCATTAGAGAAATGCAAATCAAAACTACATTGAGATACCATCTCACGCCAGTTAGAATGGCGATCATTAAAAAATCTGGAGACAACAGATGCTGGAGAGGATGTGGAGAAATAGGAACACTTTTACACTGTTGGTGGGAGTGTAAATTAGTTCAACCATTGTGGAAGACAGTGTGGCAATTCTTCAAGGACCTAGAAATAGAAATTCCATTTGACCCAGCAATCCCATTACTGGGTATATAGCCAAAGGATTATAAATCGTTCTACTATAAGGACACATGCAAATGAATGTTCATTGCAGCACAGTTTACATTGCAGCAAAGACCTGGAACCAACCCAAATGCCCATTGATGATAGACTGGACAGGGAAAATGCGGCACATATACACCATGGGATATTATGCAGCAATCAAAAATGTTGAGTTTGTGTCCTTTGTAGGGACATGGATGAACCTGGAAACCATCATTCTCAGCAAACTGACACAAGAACAGAAAATCAAACATTGCATGAACAATGAGAACACATGGACACAGGGAGGAGAGCACTACACACTAGGGTCTGTTGGGGGGAAATAGGGGATGGACAGTGGGGGGTAGGGAGTTGGGGAGAGATAGCATGCAGAGAAAAGCCAGAAATAGGTGAAGGGGAGGAAGGCAGCAAATCACACTGCCATGTGTGTACCTATGCAACAATCTTGCATGTTCTTCACATGTACCCCAAAACCTAAAATGCAATTAAAAAAAAGAAGTAACAGCTGTTCTGCTAAGGCCCTAGCAATAATGATGATGATAATCATAAACAATATCATTGTTACTTTACTGAGCTGTTGCACTAGGCACTATGCTGCCTTATTTTCATAGTGAAGACTACGAATAACCCATTTTACAGATATGGAAACCAAGGCATAGGGAATTAAGCAACCTCCTTAGGACACAGATTTAGTAAGTGGCAAAGTCATGATTAGAATTCATGTAGTCTGGTTGCAAAGCCCACACTCATCACTTCTACACTTTACTCACTGCCCCTCTCCAGCTGTGAAAAGTAGGACACCAATGAGAATTTAAGACTTGGTTGATTATGATTCATGATTGAAAGCTATGAGAAGATTCTGTATAATGAATGACTTCTTCTGCAATGTCTATACAGTATGTATGACATTTTCCCAAGGTTCTTTCCTATAATATCGCCTCTGAATGCAGATGACAAATGTCAATATGAAGTTCTATTCCTGTGGCCTCATACGCACTTCAAAATAAATTGACTACAAAATCCTCTCAGTTGCTGACTAGTTACATAAGGCTGATAGCCACAAGGTAATGTAAGGGGAAATATCTACCCCAACAGAGTGATGTGGTATTTATTAATTTATTTATTTATTCTTTTTAGAGACGGTGTCTTGCTTGGCTACCCAAGCTGGAGTGCAGTGGCATAACCATAGCTTATCATCCTCAAACTCCTAGGCTCAAGCAGTTCTCCCACCTCAGCCTCCCAAGTAGCTGGGATTATAGGTTAGTAGTACCATACTTGGAAAATGTTATTCTTAGTAGAAATAGTGTCTTGGAATGTTGCCCAGGCTGGTCTTGAGTTCTTGGCCTCAAGCAGTTCTCCACCCTCAGCCTCCCAGCTAGGATCCTTCCTTCTGAAGGCAATTAGATAGGCTAGTTGTAAGAACAACCCCTAGTTTGTTGCAATGAAGTCATGTCATCAGGACAGTTAAGGAGAGAGGACAGACCAAGTGCATCCAATAGTAGTACCAAGTCATTAAAATACAAGTTAAAAAGAAGAGGTGTTCAGAGTACATCCTATTCTATCCCTCAAGAAATTAGCATTCACTCATATAAAAGACAGTTCCACTAATCAAGAGTCTTATAGTTGCTGGAGAACAGAGACTGTGTAAAAGCAAACAGTGACAAGTGTGAACATAACTTGCTGTCATGCAGTAATTAACAGACTGTGTCCCTTGCTACCCTAGAGTGTCATGGGGATATCCCTTAGTGAAAAGGTCCTCTAATCCCTTTATGTAGATATCTGTTTTATATTTGTAAGATTCTGAGTAAGTTTCTGTGAGAAAGAACACTGTTACTTTTTAAAAAGGTTATAACCACCACTTTACCATATTTTCCAACTCTCTGGGGATACTGCTTGGCTTGTTCATTAGATCTACAAACACCAGATATAAAAATCTTTTCTGGCTAGGTGTGGTGGCTTATGCCTGCTATGCACTTTGGGAAGCTGAGGCAGGGGGACTGCTTGAGGTCAGATGCTCAAGACCAGCCTGGACAACATAGCAAGACCCCATCTACATTTAAAAAACAAAAACACCTTTTTTTTTTTTTTTTTGATTCAGGATCTCCCTCTGTCACTCATGCCAAGTGCACTGGTGTGATCTTGGCTCACTGCAACCTCTGCCTCCCCAGCTCAAGCGATCCTCAGCCTCTCAAGTAGCTGGAAATGCAGGCACATGTTACTGTGCCCGGATAATCTTCGTATTTTTTGTAGAGATGGGGTTTTGCCATGCTGGCCAGACTGGTCTCAAACTCCTGTCTCCCAAAGTAATAGGATTACAGACGTGAGCCACTGTGCCTGGCCTATAAAAAAACCTTTAAAAAAAATCTTTTTGGCTGGGCACAGTGGCTCACGCCTGTAATCCCAGCACTTTGGGAGGCCGAGGCAGGTGGATCATGAGGTCAGGAGTTCAAGACAGCCTGGCCAAGATGGTGAAACCCTGTGTCTACTAAAAATACAAACATTAGCCGGGCATAGTGTCAAGTGCCTGTAATCCCAGCTACTTGGGAGGCAGAGGTTGCAGTGAGCTGAGATCGTGCCACTGCACTCCAGCCTGGGCTACATAGTGAGACACCATCTCAAAAAAAAAAAAAAAAAACAACAACAACAATTCTTTTCTAACCGTTGTTACAGTGAGAAGAAATAATTACACAAAAATTATTTGAAAGACAACTACCTGCCAAACAATGTTAGATACTTGCTCTGAATTAAAATATAGTATTACTCACACATATACACGTTTAACTGCAGCATGCTGACAATCCTATTATCAATACCAACGGTAATGAAAAAATATAAAGTCAATTTCTACCAAAATATTTTCATCAAAATCTAAACCCAACTTTTCTATTTCTATTTTGATTCCTAACCCTGCCAAAGCAATATAAACTGAGCAGTTATCCTGGTTCTACCTGATGTAGCCTTATAACATATAAAGAGACTGCATTATATGAAAAAGGTCAGATCTTATGAACTTAACTCACCAAAATGATCTGAAGGAAGACCTCACATTGCCGTATATTATATAGTGCCTCTTTTAACATATATGGCTGAAGTTCAGCCTTCATGAGTGGGTTGTCAGCTGCCTTCTCAAGGACCGCTGTGTAGCAGTATGCCTGGTGCTGGGTCTTCTCAAGCTGATCATCAATATGCTGCAGGGTGGCTGGGATTGCTTCATGGAGAACACCTGGCACTGTTTGTAACAGTATAAAAACACAGCCATAAAGGAGACTAAAAATGATTAAGGAGAAAAGGCCTAGAAAGTAGTCACATCTTAAGCATTCAGTTGGGGTTTTTTTCCCCAATCAAATTAGTAATAATGAGGCATGTGTTTGATGGGTCCCACAACATAAAGAAAAAAATCTAACACAAACAAGTTCAAACAAAAGATATTATCAGAATGATAACCCAGTTATAGCAGGTCAGCTTTGCCACTAAATATAGAGAAGGTTAGAAAATATGCAGTTTGAAATTATGCGTTGTTAAACGTTTCCTTCCAGAAAAGTCACTGGCTCCTCCTTCTATATACCATCTTTTCTAGTTATTGAAAAAACAAAAACAAAAAATGAATGCTTGTTAATAAACGCATCTGGATGGTGAGAAATGACAGAATAGTCTAGCAACAAAGGGTCACTTATGAAAATGAAAATTTGACTTTTTAGAACAGTTTTTAAAATAGAAAAAATTTCCCTTTTATACTAGATTAGTGATCTGGCGAAGGACACTAACACCGTATCAGTGGGCCTCCAGGAGGACCAAATTCATAAGGAAGTTACTTCTTCTGGTAGGTACTTCATTAAATATTTCATAATACTTTCAAACTTACAGATAAATAACGCATTAAGTATATGACAACAAAGAAGATGCACCCGAATTTAGAAATTTGGAATATCTCCTCGTGGATCTTTTCATTCCATTAACTGCAGCAGGAGCTGTTTTCAGGAAGACTTTTATTTTTTAAACAACTAAATTTCACTCCCTTGTGGTTACTGACTTGCAGTAGAGAACACAAAGCCCCGCTGAACTTGGGGGTGAGCTTTGAGCAGGACCCTTCACTGCTTTCCCGGATTCACTGTCTCATACTAGCTTCATGGTACATAAAATTTAGTCTTACCCCAGCAAAAGAAAAAATCACTACACATTATAAATAATAGTAACTTAAGGAAATAGTAAAAAATACAAATCTTACATTTAAGTATGCCAGTGGTGTGTTATTATTTTCCTCACTGTGCATTTTAAATTTTAAACATACATAACCTTTAGAATTAACCTAATGATATACCTACAATCATCAATGCCTTCTCCTCCTTTTCCACAGTCTCTGTTAAATAAACGAATTCCAGTAACAATCATGGTGAGTTCTTTCAGTTGGCGTTCTTTGTCCTTCTTACAAAGAGTTAGAAATGTCCCAAGCTCAGCCTGAGGAAAAACACTCTGGAGAGCAGCTAAAATAAACCAGAAAAAAAAGGAAAACAAAGTGACGGAATAAAGATACCGGAAGTTAAATAACAAGTTTTTTTTCTTTCAGCAGAAAGTTAAGGGTATGAGCTGCTTATGTAATTCTTTAAATTTCTAATACCTGATTATAGAATACACAATAAAATTGATCACACATCAAAGCTGGACTACTGAGAGTTATGCCATTGTCTCATGTTCATTTTCAATAACTGAACAGCCATCAGTTCCTTTTTGGCAATAGGCATGAAAACAACCTTTCTAATTAGGGATTTGAGCCGAAAAATGGATGGTTTAAAACAATTGTGGAAGAGAGCCATAGGAGAGTTAAACATTTTTCCTATTCCTCATTTTAAAGTATGAAAGTGGGCAAAATTTCCTAAGGATAAAACACTGCCCCTTTCCATCATCCACTTTAAATGACAGACTCAATTTCTGTCATCAATATGAAATATCCCTTTCCAGCTTTTCCATTAACTCAATCAGTCTGGTACCCTCAATCCTACTATTGATGTTTCTCTAATGAGGTGTAATAGGTCCCTACATATGTGCATCTCTAAGAAATTAGCAATATTTCACTTTCTAGAGATGCTACCTGAGTTTTAGGACTGATACACAGTGTAAAAGGAGACTGGGTACATTTTAACTCATTTGTGCTGATTTTTCTTTTTCAGATAAAAAGGGAACTTCAATCTTTAACACTTCTAATTTAACATATTTTATAAAATACAATGATCATATATTTTCACTTATGAAATGGAAATTGGTTATACGTTTTACCTGTTACCTCTCTGACAGTCTTGATGTCTGTAGGGGATCCAAGGCCAGAGCGGAGTAACATATAGCTGATAATCTTCCGGTAGAGGCTTTCCAATTCTTCTTTAGTACATGCTCTGTTATCTGTAATTTCCCTGGTAACAGAGCCTAATCTCAAGTCTAGGACTCGGTGATGTTCTTCAAGAAATTCCACTAAAATTGGCAAATAACAATGTTCTATATATTTAATATTTAGAATTCTTCTCACATAAGAACTAGAGAAAAACTGGCTTGGATATGGCAATTCTACTTCATGAAAACAAGTAATTTCTTAAGATGTAATAATGAAATAAAAAACAGTGGCCAGCAAGTAACCTCAAGACAAAAATCCAGTAGAAAAGATTTATTACAGCCAGGCGTGGTGGCTCATGCCTGTAATCCCAGCTCTTTGGGAGGCTGAGGCAGGTGGATCACGAGGTCAGGGGTTCGAGACCAGCCTGACCAACATGGTGAAATCCCGTCTCTACTTAAAAATACAAAAATTAGCTGGGCATGGTGGCGCACACCTGTAATCCCAGCTACTTGGGAGGCTGAGGCAGAAGAATTGCTTGAACCCGGGAGGCGGAGGTTGCAGTGAGCCGAGATCGTGCCATTGCACTTCAGCCTGGGCAACAAAGCAAGACTCCGTCTCAAAAAAAAAAAAAAAAAAAGATGTATTACAGTGACTTAAATGGAATACTTGGTCAAAACACCTAAGACTTTAAACAGCCAAACTAACCAGTAAATATCTAAAACCAGAAAAGTCTAAAACCTCCCAATTAAGCAGAAAGAAGACCATTTTTACAATACATATATTTTTAAACTATATAAAAAATATAAATATATACATACTATATATTTATGCTATATGTAAGCATATGTAGTATACTATACATAAGCATATACAGTAGCAGAAATACATATGTAGTGTGTATATATATATATATATATATCTTCCTTTCAGTTATGTGTATTTTTATTTCAGTTCTAGTTAAATTTCCTCTGAAAAGCATTATTGATAATATAATGTTGCATCAAGAACTGTATCCCTCCTCGTTCCTCCTGTGATATGCTGAGGTATAGTCTCAACGCTGGCAGGACACCATGTTCACTGAGTTATTGCAAGGATGTTTCTTGCAATCACTCAATAAAACAACCCATATTACTATTACAATGGCAATAATTAACAATATCCACCATGCATAGTTTATACTTATACTCTTGCCACAAAAACAACTGAGAACTTTTTGCAAATTAATATATATATATAAAATTATATATATATAATTATATATAAAATTAAAAATATAGGCTGGGCATGGTGGCTCATGCCTATAATCCCAGCATTTTGGGAGGCCCAGGCAGGTGGATCACAAGGTCAAGAGATCGAGACCATCCTGGTCAGTGGTGAAACCCCATCATTACTAAAATACAAAAATTAGCTGGGCATGGTGGCATGCGCCTGTAGTCCCAGCTACTCGGGAGGCTGAGGCAGGAGAACTGCTTGAACCCAGGAGGCAGAGGTTGCGGTGAGCCGAGATGGCACCATTGCACTCCAACCTGAGTAACAAGAGCGAAACTCTGTCTCAAAAAAAAAAAAAAAAATATATATATATATGTTAAATTTTATCAATTCTAAAACTATTTTATTGCTTTAAAATTTTACTATTAAGCAAAAACACAAGATATATATTTTTATGTAGGTAGCATAACTGAAACTAATACATACAAAATCACTAAATTGTTAATAATGATAATAATGATTGTACATATAGCAGAGGCAGAGGTAGTCCATGGAGAAATATATTTGTTTTATATAGCAGGGACAGAGGCAGTCCATAGAGAATTATATTTTCCTTTTTCTTTTGTTTCCAAGTTGTCTTTGATGTATGCATTAAGTTATTTACATAATGAGCTGGGCATGCTGGCTCACACTTGAAATCCCAGCACTTTGGGAGTCCAAGGTGGGCAGATTGCTTGAGGCCAGGAGTTTGAGACTAGGCTGGGTAACCCGGTGAAACCCCGTCTCTACTAAGAATACAAAAATTAGCTGGGTATGGTGGCATAAGCCTACAGTCACAGCTACTCAGGAGGCTGAGGTGGGAGAATTGCTTAAACCCAGGAAGCAGAGGCTGTGTGATCTGTGATTGCGCTACTGCACTGCAGCCTGGGCGACAGAACAAGACTCCGTCTCAAAAGAAAAAAAAAATTACATACTGAAAAACTTTCTATGCTTAAATTTCCCATCACTCATTTCATTTTTGGATAGTTACATAATTTAGGTAATTATTATGAGATGATAATATAAACCAGGAACAAGAAAATCTACAAATTAAAAACTTTTCCCTTCAATGGGCTGGTTGTTTGACTTTCTAATTATTATGCATTAGTACCATAAAGGTTAAAAGACAATAGACTTGAAAACAACAATTATGAGCATAATAATTTGAATTGACTTTTAACATTCACAAAGGCCAATGATGTTTTTTTCACTAGCATTTCTAACATGGTTATATTCTTCAAAGTTGAAAAACATTTCAAAAGACTGCAAAAATTAAATTGTTAAATTGATGAAGCAATTAAATTCATTGTCAACCCTTCTTAGCTGAAATATAATATGAAATTGTTCTAAGTATAAAAATAGGTAGTAAATGTTACCTCGATTTGTGTAATTCATATCAAAATAGACTTGCATCTTAATAGTGTCCAGGGATGGATTTTTAGTATCCAATAGCCGAGCCATACAAAGCTAGAAAAGAATAGCCCATTAATGCTTTTAGTTATAGTTTCTGAGACATTCAAGTATTTCCTAAAGTTATTTTCAAAAATAAAAGGAAAAGCAGTGGTTCCTGATATTTATTCACCAATAACCCCTTCTATTATGTTTTTTCTCCTGGAGGACTTCAGGCTTTATGGTTTATTTAACCAATAATATTTTTTGAGATGGAGTCTCGCTCTGTCGCCCAGGCTGGAATGCAGTGGCGCGCTTGGCTCACTGTAACCTCTGCCTCTGAGTTCAAGTGAGTCTCCTGCCTCTGCCTCCCGAGTAACTGGGACTACAGACGCATGCCACCACACCCGGCTAATTTTTTTTTTTTTCAGTAGAGACAGGGTTTCACTCCTGACCTCGTGATCTGCCCATCTCTGCCTCCCAAAGGGCTGGGATTACAGGCATAAGCCACAGTGCCAGGCCAGCTTTTTTTATTTTTATAGATTTAGGGGGTATAAGATTTTCGTGGATATATTGCGAGTAGTGGTGAAGCCTGAGCTTTTAGTGTAGCTAACACCTGAATAGTGTACATTGTATCTATTAAGTAATTTCTCATCCCTCACTCCCTCTCACCCTCCCAAGTCTCCAATGCCTATTGTTCCACCCTCTATGTCCCTGTGTACATATTATTTAGCTTCCACTTATAGGTGAGAACGTGGTATTTTACTTTCTGTTTCCAAGCTATTTCACTTAAGATAGTAGCCTCCAGTTCCATCCATATTGCTGCAAAACATGATTTCATTGTTTTTTATGGTTCAATGGCTCCATAGAATTCCATTGTGTGTATGTATACATACATTTTCTTTATCCAATAATCTGTTGAGGGACACTTAGGTTGAGTCCATATTTCTGCTACCAATAGCATTTGTTAATAAGTCATTTCCCTTAAGTTAATCAATAATCACCATTCCCAGGTGGCTAGCAGTCCAGTTGAAGGCAAGAAACCTGATGTTTTGGTTAGTTTGAGCAGTCTAAATGTGGGTAAATGTTCCACGAAGCTTATATTCCAGTCTAGAACTCTTCTAGAGTTCCTCATTACTATTTATTTGTGCCTTGAACAACACTCCTTATTTTGTTTTATAAAAAGCCGCCGCAGCCAGCGCAATGGCTAACACCTGTAATCCCAGCACTTCGGGAGGCCGAGGTGAGCAGATCACCTGAGGTCAGGAGTTTGACACCATCCTGATCAACACGGTGAAACCCTGTCTCTGCTAAAAATACAAAAATTAGCTGGGCGTGGTGGTGCACGCCTGTAGTCCCAGCTACTTAGGAGGCTGAGGCAGGAGAATCACTTGAGAATCTGGGAAGGGGAGGTTGGAATGGGCCAAGATCACGCCACTGCACTCCAGCTTGGGGGACAGAGTGAGACTTCGTCTCAAAAAATAAAATAAAATAAATAAAAATAAAAATAAAAAGTTAAAAGCTGCTGCAACTACTCCCCTCTCTTCACAAAATTTCTCTGGTTCTACCCTTGATATTTCTTCTCCTGGTTTGTTTTCTTTCATGAGCCCCCACATAGATGACTCATTACCCTTCTCTGCCTTGCCTCTTTAAATGGAATGATCAACCTCAGTTTTTCTTTTTTTCTCTCATCCCTACTGGTCACCTCCCTCCCCCACTTCCTTCACTTCTCACCCTGTAGGCTGAATACACTGCAGCCAGCAGGGCCTGGCAACATTACTCTCAACCCTTCTCCCCGAGCACCAGCCCTGCTTTCCTGGGAGGAGAGAGGGGAGAATGCAAGACTGAGGATGGGACTGTGTCTTTGCAGAAGGCTGTGCACCTGGATTCCTCCATGTAGAGAAGTACTGTTCTAAAAATCATACTTTAAAAAAATTAGCTCATCCACGATTTTTAATTGAGAAAAAAAAATGTCACTTGAATTATAACATAGATTGTTAGTTTATATACCTGTCATATTCAAAGTATATTGACTTGATTCTTTCCAGCTTAGTTGAGGTGGGGGTTGGAGGGAATGGAAAACTCTTCTTGGGTCATGACAAGGAGAAAAACTTATTTTCTGACCCTCCTTGACTCTGTTGCATGGCTTTCCAATAAAATTTTTGACTGTCACAATCACTTCCCCTATTGCTAAAAATAAGCTTTATACTCTCTTTTCTCTGCATCCTCACCAATATCCGTTATGTTTAAACTTTTTTTTTTTTTTGAAATGGAGTCTCACTCTGTCACCTAGGCTAGAGGGCAGTGGCAGGATCTCGGCTCACTACAACTTCCACCTCTGGGGTTCAAGCGATTCTCCTGCCTCAGCCTCCTGAGTAGCTGGGATTACAGGCTCACATCACCATGCCCAAGTAATTTTTTATTTTTATTTTTTTGAGACAGAGTCTCACTCGGTCACCAGTGCATGACCTCAGCTCACTGAAACCTCCACCTCCCGGGTTCAAGCAATTCTCCTGCCTCAGCCTCCCGGGTAGCTGGGATTACAGGCGTGCGCCACCACACCCAGCTAATTTTTTTGTATTTTTAGTAAAGATGGGATTTCACCATGTTGGTCAGGCTAGTCTCAAACTCCTGATCCACCCACCTTGGCCTCCCAAAGCGCTGGGATTACAGGCATGAGCTACCATGCCTGGCCCCATGTTTTGGCTTTTTAACAGACATTCTAACTGGTGTATGATTGTATCTCATTGTCAGAATAGAAAACCAGAGAAAAAAGCCACATACCTGAAGTCAAGTGATCTTTGACAAAGTCAATAGAAACATGCACTGGAGAAACAACACCCTATTTGATAAATGGTGCTGGGAAAATTGTATTACCATTTGCAGAAGAATGAAACTAGAGCCCATCGTCTCACCATACACAAACATTAACAACTGAAGATTGATTAAAGACTTAAATGTGGCCGGGCGCGGTGGCTCAAGCCTGTAATCCCAGCACTTTGGGAGGCTGAGGCGGGTGGATCACGAGGTCAACAGATCAAGACCATCCTGGTCAACATCGTGAAACCCCATCTCTACTAAAAATACCAAAAAAATTAGCTGGGCATGGTGGCGTGTGCCTGTAATCCCAGCTACTCGGGAGGCTGAGGCAGGAGAATTGCCTGAACCCAGGAGGCGGAGGTTGTGGTGAGCCGAGATCGCGCCATTGCACTCCAGCCTGGGTAATAAGAGCTAAACTCCGTCTCAAAAAAAAAAAAAAGACTTAAATGTAAGACCTGAAACTACAAAAGTACCAGAAAAAACCTAGGGCTGGACACTGGCCTAGGCAAAGAATTCATGACTTAAAAGCAAATGCAACAGAAACAGACAAATTGGATTTAAATAAACTAAAAAGCTTCTACGTATCAAAATGAATAATCAACAGAGTGAAAAGACAACCTGCAGAATGGGAGAAAATATGTGCAAACCATAAATCTGACAAAGGACTAACATCCAGGATCTACGAGGAGCTCAAACAATTCGACAACAACAACTAACCCATTAAAAAGTAGGCAAAGGACATGAATAGATATTTTTCAAAAGAAGACATACAAATGACCAACAACCATATGAAAAAAATGCTCAACATCACTCTGCATTAGAGAAATGCAAATTAATTTACTTCTATTTAACTTTACAGTATATGACAAACCATTTAATCTTTGCAATGTAAGAGATTAATAACAAGGTGCCACGAAAATACTATAGCAGATGCTGCTACCTGTCCAATTTCCCTGCCCGCCTTCCTTCCTAACAGAGCCTCAATTTGGATTGGGGCAAGGATTTATTCATCTAAGAAAGAAAAAAAAGTAAACATCCCTGGGTCACTTACAGTATCATTCTGGTCAATAAATGTAAGTAGATGGGAAGGATTCTGAGAAAACATTATTTTCTGGACAGAAGGTGATAGACCCAATTGGCACACATGTTTTGCCCTTTGCCTTTCCCGCTTCTTTCTACCTGGAGGTAGGGTAGCTATCTTCTGACCATCAGACGACCATATTGCAAGAATGGTGTGCCCCAGGAAGCCAGGAAGAATGCCCTATGTCTCTCTAGACTTTGTGTTATGAGAAAAATGCCTCAGGTGTACTACTGTTTTGTGGGCGTTTGACGCAGCTGAAGGCAATAATGACAACTGAGAATAAGTAATTGCAAATTTGAGAACCATTCGGTAATCACCTTAACAAGATTCTGCACGTCACTTTTCATGAGGGTTCTATCCATGTTAAAGCCATTACTTGGATCCAGGACAACAGCTTTCACCTGAGAGTAGGAAAGAGTCCATTAAGTAATTTTACTTCATATTATTATAAAATTAGTTTAATATGTTTCCATTTTTTAAACTACCTCTTGATCACACTGAGTTTGGTTTTCAACTATTTTTTTTTGTTACTGAACTCATCAGCATCCTTGTTACAGGCTGAAGAAAGGAAGCAACAAACATCAAACTTGAATATGGTGCTAGAAAAGTTATATGGGGAAATAAGCTGAAACCAGTTGATAGGTTTTCAATTGGGACACTATGGTATATTTTATTGTTTTTGTGGTTTTGTTTGTTTTTTGAGACAGAGTCTCACTCTATCGCCCAGGCTGGAGTGCAGTGGATTGATCTTGGATCACTGCAACCTCTGCCTCCCGGGTTCAACTGATTCTCTTGCCTCAGCCTCCCAAGTAGCTGGGACTACATGTGTGTGCCACCACATCCAGCTAATTTTTTTTTTTTTTTTTTTTTTTTTAGTAGAAACAGGGTTTCAACATATTAGACAGGCTGGTTCTGAATTCCTGACCTCATGATCCACCCACTTCGGCTTCCCAAAGTGCTAGGGTTACAAGTATGAGCCACCACGCCCGGTCTTTTTTTTTTTTTTTTTTTTGAGATGGAATCTCACACTGTCACTCAGGCTGGAATGCAATGGTGTGATCTTGGCTCACTGCAACCTCCAACTCCTGGATTCAAGCAATTCTCCTTTCTCAGCCTCCCAAGTAGCTGGGATAACAGGTGCCCACCACCACACCCGGCTAATTTTTTTTGCATTTTTAGTAGAGATGGGGTTTCACTATGTTGGCCAGGCTGGTCTCGAACTCCTGAGGTTGTGATCCGCCTGCCTCAGCCTCCCAAAGTGGTAGGATTTACAGGCGTGAGCCACCATGCCTGGCCATTTTGTTCTACTTTTATTGCGTATTGTTAACTTAACCAAAAGCAAGAACAGAGAAACCATAGCAGAGTAATTTTTGACCACAGCAAACAAAAATACATGTTGAAAAAATTCCCACACAGGAAAACATTATTGATGTTTCCAAAACTCATCAAGGTCTTCTGAATCAGTCTCTATAAATCTAGAATTGACATGCTCTATAAACTTTTAAAAAATGTTTTCACTAACTTGTCCAATGATCTCGTTTCAATTGAAAAACATCTGTAAAAGTGTCACAGAATTTAGAAGGGAAAATGGATACCACAACTTTAAAAAGCTCTTAATAAAGAAGTAATCACAAAAATATTTCTTCTTACCATAAAAGCAATCAGAGTTTCCGAAACAATCTCTCCATGGACTGCACATTCTTGTCCTACTTCTCGTATAATACTCCTGATAACACTTTCGGCCTGAGTTGGAGGCATTCTGGCTAAATAAAACAATTTTTGTTTTTTTAAAACGTGGTTTTATGCAAATTTATTTTTTTTCTCTTTAGATAGCTCCACTATTGTATTTTTAAAGAGTCATAATATCATCTATTAGTTTATTAGTATTTTTATTAATATCTAGGCCTCTCCTGTCTTTCATTAATTTATTTTTAAAAATGAAGGACTTTATTGATGACAGACAACGACTGGGATTCCAAATAATTGAAACATTTGATACTTACCATTTTCAATTATTTAAATGATAGCCACTAAACATATATTCCTATCATGATATTCTTAATTTTTTTTTTAAAAAAGACTAAACAGTATTTGTGGGAGAGGGAGGTAGAATTAATGAGAAACCCAAACCCTAAGGCAGCAGAATACAGCTTCAAAAAGTAAATGCTTATTCCACCACATTCACTAAATGACCCTTCGTAACTGTACTAGAATCTTGGAAAACAGTTCTTGCTCAGATCATTGAAATAAATCTTTTCTGCACATCTAAAATGAAATTCAGACTCTTGATAAACATAAAAGCAAAAACCAAAACGTAAGAGTTATGCTTTATGGAAAAAAATGAACTCCTGATTAGTAATTCCATTTACTATAAGGAAAAAGTGGTAAGTTTTGATCGAGTTTTCTGATTTTCCTGAATATTAGTAACTGAGCACAACGGAATTTGGCATGTAGCCTATAACAAACGTAGATAAAGCCAGTGCCTCGGCATTATTAGCTTTCCGATGAATGGGTTCGGAAGCGTTAGGCATTTTGTCCAGTGAAAGCAGATTGCCTGGATTCCATCGTGATCCGACCATTGTCTAGCTGTGAGACCTTGGGCACTTGCTTCACTTCTCTCCAGAGTTGTGATAACTAAATTAGTCCTACGTATTTAGTGGTTACAACAGTGCGTGGCATAACGGAAGCGCTTAAATCAGCTTAGAACCAGTACGCCGGGATCGCAGGCCGCGCATGCGCCAGTGTGTGTCTGTGGGAGAGGCCTCCAGCCCCGGCTGTTTGCGCGTGCGCGCCGCTGCCCCGTCGCTAGGGACGCCGCTCAGCACTTTTCCGACGACCACCCTCCAATTACTAAATCTCCGGAGGTCCGACTTCTGGGGCAGCCAGTGAAGCGGAACAGAGGCGAGAGGCCTCAGGTACCCGCGCAGTGGCTAGAGGGCCAGCCTACGGCCCTGGGCGCCTCCTGCAGGAATGGACCGCTGCCCACGCCCAGCGGCTGCGACCCCTAAAGGGTGGAGACTGAACTCCCAGTCTAGACGAGGGAAGACGGGTCCTCCTTACGCCCGGGCTCCACCCGTCGCCCCACGCTTGCCGCCTGGCGGGGTACGCCTCGGGGTCACGGGCGCGGAGCCCCGCGTAGGCTGACCTGGACCGGAATCGACCGCAAGAGCCGTGTCCGTACGCTTCTCTTCTGGGGTCCTACCGCGGCTGTTGGGGCAGTCAGGCGCTCGCTGCAAACACCGCGTAACCATGGAGATGGAACGCTCCGGACAAGAGAGGGCGGGGCCAGGTGGGCGGGCGGGGTACCACTTTGAGGGTCTTTCCCCCAAAAGATGAGCTGGAAAAGCTTTAAAAACAAAGGAATTTCATGCACAGACATCTTAACCTCAGTGGTTAAGCTTGTGAAACAGAAGTTCTTGTAAAGATACTAACTTGTTAGCGTGGGAACGATGGGGCGGGGGAAAGAGGGAGGAGCCAGTTGGACAGGCTGGGAAAACGAAAGGGCTGTATCCTGGACTAATAACGTTGTTGTAAAAGTATCTAGTTTTTAAAAACAAAAGTAAAAAGTATCGAGGTTTTAGTTCATATCCTGTTGTTCAAAGAAGTCTGTAACGCAATGCTCCATGATGCCGGAAGAGAAAACTGCTCATTCAAGAAGCACGTGATAAAGACATACTGGTTTCCGAGTTAAAATAATGAGGTTTTGTCCCTTAACGAAAATGTCTTTAGGCCCACTTTCAGACGTGAAAGTGTGAAACAGGGTTAAATACGCATTAGAAGCAGAGCATCAAACAACAAGGTTTTACTTTTAAACAGTATTTTTTCTCAGACTGCAAACAAATACGCAGAATATGCTTTGCTTAAGGACATTTCCACATAACTAGGAAATGAATTAACACAAAAACTCAAGAATACACATTGTAATATAATACAACTTTATTTCCCCCTTCTAGAAAACGTTCCTGAATTTGGATCAAGCTTGTGTAAAAATAGATGTTTAGAGTAACAAGATTTATAATAGCACAACCTTGGAAATCTAAACACGATATTTAAGGACTGTTGATAAAATATCAGGAGATATTTAAAATTATGTTAACACAAATCTTGTGTTTGTCTTATATTTTTTAAAAGCCAAATGCAAAATTTATCTATATTATGACTTTATGTTGACATTCATATAATGCACAAAAAGTGTATAAGTCAATTTATCAAAATCACAGCAAGCAATTGGATTTGAGGATGGAATTATAAGTAAATTATTTTTATTTATATTTTTCTGTTTTTTCCAGATTTTTTCATAGTGAGTATATAATGTCTTATGATCTATAAAACAAAATTTTAAAATACTGGGGAGATGGGACTGGCTATTTGTAGAGAATGAGCCCAATGTAGATATATAAATATACTGTAAATGTACAAGATAAAGCAACCAAAGGAAGGTGAGATAGCAAAATTTTAATAGTGGTTGTATCTTGGTAATGGCTTATGGCTGATTTGTCTTCTTTATAATTTAAGATAGCTACCAAAATGTCTTCCATGAGCATATAAGTTAGAATATTAAATATTTTTTAAGATGGTAAGAATAATACGATCATATTAAATATAGTTTTAAACTAATGGGCAAATCCTGGGATGAATACTTTCTAGGTATGTTTGTTTGATACTGTTAATTCTTACTTAATGTCAATTTCTTCTTCTTCTTTTATTTTGTTTAATTTGAGACAGAGTTTTGCTCCTGTTGCCGAGGCTGGAGTGCAATGGCACTATCTTGGCTCACTGTAACCTCCGCCTCCCAGGTTCAAGCAATTCTCCTGCCTCTGCTTCCTGAGTAGCTGGGATTACAGGCGTGTGCCACCATGCCCAGCTAATTTTTGTGTTTTTACTGTGGGATTTCACTGTGTTGGCCAGGCTGGTCTCGAACTGCTGACCTCAGGCCATTCATCCATCTCAGCCTCCCAAAGTGCTGGGATTACAGGTGTGAGCCACTGCGTCCAACTCTTTATATTACTAATTTAACCCTGTTTTGGGAATGGCTGTTCTCTTTAAAAAAATTCTCTCAACCTCTTTCTCAGCGAGAGTGGCCTGTGACATGGTCTGGCCCAATGAGATATAAGTACAATCACTGGATGAGGTGTCAGGGAAAGCACTTCCATTATATGTCTATTCCCTTTCCTTTTCCTTCTACTTGAAATGAGAATATGCTGGCTGAAGCTCCAGCAGCCTTGTTGTGAACATAAACATGAGGGTCCCATCTTAAGGATGGTGAAACAAAAATGAAAAAGGAACTTGAGTTCCTCTAATGTCATGGAACAGCCCTATCAGCTTCTTGACTGGCTATCTCCAGACTTCCCGTGAGAGAAGATAAACCCTTATTTTATTTTATTTTTCACTTTGTTATAAACCTCAATTTTATTAAGCCACTGTATTTGGGTTTTCTGCTACATTCAGCCAAACTGAATCCCTGACTGCTACAATGGGTATGATTTTGGAAGTATTATTTAGCGTTTTGTGCTACATTGAATTACTCTCCCTAATCCTTCATGCCTCTCTGCATCCAGGTCTTTGCCGTGGACTTTGGTGGGGTATACTTACCCACTCCTTGACTTTGAGTTTAGCTATGTGACTTGCTTTGGCCAATGGGTTGTGGTGAAGTAACGGTATGCCAAATCAGACCCAAGGCCTTAAGAGACCCCATGTTTTTGCTTTCTCTGTTATGCCTGTGTCATTGCCATGAGAAGTACATACCCTAGCAAACTCTTTGGTCCCAGGAGAATGACATGCACACGGCACAGAATTGCCTGAACTAATCTTTCAGGAAGATGCAGAAATGCCCAACTGGGCCAACTGGGGCCCATCCTAGATCAGCCAAATTCCAGTCAACCTGTAGATGTGTGATAATGAATGAGTATTGTTTTAAACCACTGAGTTTTGGAGTGGCTTATTATTCAGTGTAATTGTGGAAATAGTTCATTTATAAACCTTTCAGTGATCTAAATTTCTCATTTATAAAACAGAAATGGTATCTCACAGAGCTGTGAGAGTAAAATGAGATAGTCCTCAGGAAGCACTTAGCACAGCATCTGACATGCATAAAAGGATTAATACATTTTAGGTACTATTTTATAACCTTTATCATAGTTATTATTGACAACATCAACTATGACTATATTTTATACTCCCATGGTTTATTGGACTTCTAGTCTTTGTTAAACTAATTGTTCCTAGTTTTAACATGGCACTAATGGCATTTAGTTAAAAATCATGGAGGAACCAGAGTGCATCCAGAAAATGATAAGAAAAATTTTGTCAGAATAAGATAGAATTGGATATATTTACCTTGAAAAAAGAAGGCATGAGAACTCTTCTCAGTTTTGTTAAAAGAGAAACCAAGCTTTATGTTGTTTCAGAACACCAGATTACAAATCTACATATAACAGTCTTAACATAAAATAGAATTGTGATGGAAGTCATCCTAGAAGAAGTGAACCCCATTTTATCAGCTGCTTTTTATCTAAAAGCTAAAGGATTGCCTTTAAGAATATTGTAGAATTCCTTATGATTAAGTGGCTTTAATGTGTCACAAACTGTTCAACTTTTAAAGAGAGAGTTATATATTTTTCATTTTCCTAAGGCTTTAAGAAGTTTTAAGCTCAAATGAGTTGAGCTTCTTAGCATGTTTAATAATTTTTTATTGAATACTGGACATTGTGAATTTCATCCTTGTTAAATATCTGAGGTTTGTTGTCCCCCTTTAGGAAGGGTTGCGCTTTTGTTTTTCAGCCAGTTATTTGTGGATGAATGTGATTCATCTGAGGACTGTTTTTAAGCTTTCTTAGGGTAGGTCTAGAGTAGTCTTCATTCCAGGGATAATTTGGCCCTGCTACTAATAATAACTGCTCAGAGGTCTTCACTGAATTCCTTGGTTTTCACTGAGGACTCTTCACTCTGGCTGGTCAGTGCTCAAATGTCTTCTCATCCTCTGTGAGCTGTAGGAATGATTTAGCTTAAACTTCCTGGTCATTCTCTGCTTGACTGTCTGGACTGTCAATCCATATATGAACAGCCAAGTGCTTAGTATTGGATTTATGAGTTTTTAAATTTTATTTATTTATTTATTTGTATAGCTTCATCTTTTCCAAAACTCTACTCTTCAATTTCCACATCTGTGAACTCTGATCTCTGTCTCCTCAATAAGATCCCTAGACACCGGGTTAACCTTTCTATGCTCAGGATCTGGAAACTGCCTCCAGGCAGAAATTTAGGGGCGGTTATAGCTAACACTTGTTTTATATATTTTGCTCAGTTTTCTAGTCGTTTGTGGCAGGAAGTTAAGTCCAGTCCTTGTTATTCCATCATGGTCAGAAGTAAAACGTTGGGTAACCTTGGAGAGAGGCTAATAGGAAATAATCATCTAGGAGGATAGAAGAGTGGGCTTACTAGAAAATTTCAGTAACTTTCAGTAATTACTGAGAAGTAATAAATGTGCATCTGAGTGTCAGGATCATGAATTTAAAGTGAAAGCATTTTGGCATGTTAAGTGATTTTCATTGGAAATTATTCAGCAGCTTAGGAACAAGCATGATCTTGAAGAATAAATGGTCGGCTTGGCCAGGAACATGTGTTTTGCCAGACTACCATTATCATGCTAGACCATGCATTTAAACCACTGTAGAGCAACAAAAGCAATTCAGCAGTTTTTTGTTTGTTTGTTTGGAGACAGAGTCTCAGTGTGTCACCCAGGCTAGAGTGCAATGACGAGATCTCAACTCACTGCAGCCTCTGCCTCCCAGGTTCAAGTGATTCTAGGAGAATGTACTGCCTTCCGAGTAGCAGGGACCCGCCTCCACGCCTGGCTAATTTTTGTATTTTTGGTAGAGACAGGATTTCATCATGTTGGCCAGGCTGGTCTTGAATTCCTAACCTCAAGTGAACGGCCTGCTTCGGGCTCCCAAAGTGCTGGGATTACAGGCGTGAGCCACTGGGCCAGCCAGGAGTTCTTTAGATGTTGTAAAGACCTAAGCTAATTTTTTCAATTGCTAACAAAGATATATAATTAACATTTGAAAGAGTACTTTGGAGCTTATAAAGGTATTTCACAGATAGATAACTCATCTGTTCCTTAAAACAGCCTCATAAGAGAATGAACATTATTACTTCATTTTACACATATAGAAGTCAATATTCAGAGAGCAAGTGACAAGTCTAAGACTGTAAAGCTAGTAAGTTATGGAGCCATCTTAAGTCTTATTGCTCTAATAAGTATTCAGAATGAGGGGTACTCTTTTAAGCTTCTGAGAAAAGTTCTAGAATCTTTTTCCCCCAAAATGCATAAAGTCCCTAATTTTATATAATATTTTAGAGAATTTACAGATTCTCTGAAGTTCATACAAGTGGCAGTGGACTCTTGGTTTAAAATTTCCAATTTTTTCAGCACTGTAAGACAGGGTAGGAAAAAAAAATTCTAGTTTTTAACTTGTACCTAGATGGTAGTTATACAGGTGTTCACTTTATAGTATGTTTTCATCTGTATATATGTGTATATATATATATATATACATATATATATACATATATATGTTACATTGTACATATATATACATATATATGTTACATTGACTTTTCTGTATATGTTTTATAATAAAAAGTAAAGGCACAGTAATATAGAATGTCTCTACTTTTAGTTGTGCTTTGTGGATGTTAAACATTAAAATAGAGATGTAGTTCTAAAAATATCCTCAAAAGTTAAAACAATATATTGTGTTATTCACTTTGTTTTCATTGTCCTTCTCCATTATAATCCATATGCTTCACAACAGCCCTTCTTTAAAAAAAAATGCACACACTCACACACACACACACACACTACTTATATATTATGTGTAGTGCACTGATTTTGAAACTGTGAAAGTCAGAGTCCTGGAATTGGCTGACAATCTCCTTTTCCAGTTTATCTTTCCTTCTCCACAAAAAGGCTTGATAATGGAGAGGGAAGTTGAGTGTTCAGGTCAACGATGAGAAGGAAATTAAGGAACTTACAAGACAGTGTAACTCTTCTTTCTGTTTCTCTTAGGATAAGCAGGAGCTATTTCCCTGTACTTTCCCACATCCTTTTAGTCAGGAGGATCACAAGATTATTCCTTCACCATCTTCATGGAGATTCCTTTTCAGAGGTTACTTACATGGGCACAGATATAAAAAGGCAGAAAAAAAGCAGATAGTTTAGTTTCCTGATACATAGTATAGCTTCCTGGGTTCAAGGGTACCCTCTGAGTCTTAAAAATCTACTTTTCTTTGTAATTATCAAGAATATTTTTTCTTCTCTATTTTAAGAGACAGAATATTTTGCTCTGTTGCCCAGGCTGGAGTGCAGTGGTGTGATCATACCTCAGTGCAGCCTTGAACTCCTGGGCTCAAGGGATCTCCCTGCCTCACCCTCCTGGGTATCTGGGACTGTATGTATGTGCCACCACAACTGGTAATTTTTTTAAGTTTTTGTAGAGACGAAGTCTTGCTACATTGTTCAGGCTGATCTCCGACTCCTGGGTTCAAACGATCCTCCCATCTTGGCCCTCCAAAATGCTGGGGATTATAGGCATGAGCAGTAGCACCTGGCCAAGAATCTTTAAAGGTAAGATGAATGATGAATGAAAGCATTAATTCTTCATTTTCCATCTCTTTCTCCATCACATGAGTCAGTAGAGAAACAAGGGACCTCCACATCAGATTTTCACAAACTAAATCAGGGGCATAATTGAGGCATTTAAGGAAGATAAATATAGGGCTCTTTTGCATATTACAAAAGAAATGAAAACTATCAAAGCACAAAAATGAAAAAAAAATCAGTGAATTCTATTATAATCATCAAGCTTCTATAAAAAGTGAGGGCAATAATGGTTCTTTCTTCTTAGAATTATAGACCAGGTACAACTTCATACACATACCACATGGTCCTAATTGGGAAAATAGGATTGAAAGCATCAAAATCTTTGCTACTGTAGCATCTGTGGCAGTGATTCTCAACTCGAGAGAGTGAAGGACAGCATACCAGCAATGCATTGGCAGCCCAGCTATCAACTCTGATATGTGCTACTTATCTATTTAGTATATGTGGGAAATGTCACTGTGTAGCTTTTCTTAAAGGTGAATTTCTCCCTGTCTTTTGCTCACCCACCCTCACACCCATCTACCCAATCGTTAACTAATGACCAAGTCTTTATTAACTCCTCTTGAACCAAGTTACTTTCTCCATTCCCACTTCTCCTGCATTAATTAAAGCAACAGTCTTTTCTTGCTTAAATTACTGCAACAAACAACTAATTGAGCTCCCTGCCTCCAGTGTTGTACTCCCCAAATTATTTCCCTATAGTAATCTTTCGAAAATAGAAATCTGATTGTGTCATTCCCTGCCCAACACCTTGTAAAGGCTTCTGAATGGTCTTTCAGTAACTCCAGACTTCTTGGCATGGTCTACGAAGCCCTTTATGTCCACCTCAGCTCTCATGGCTGCCTCTCCTCTCCCGACAGGCTGCACCATTGCGTTTCTCTGGCCATGCCGAATTAACTTCCAGTTTTCTCTGGGCTCTAGACCTTTGCATAGAGGTTACTCCCTCTATCTCTGAATGTCCCCTTTTCTTTTCATCTGATTAATTCCTCCATGTCTTCAGAAGCCATCTGAATTTAAACAACTTTAAATTAATGTCTTTCCTAAAGGGTTAGAATAATTTCAGAAGGAAATTACAATGTTGAAGGGGAAGGAAAAGACATTTAAATTACAGGTTTCAGAAGAAGAGCTTCCTCTGAGTCCAGCTTTGGCTCTCCTGCCTTAGGATCCCTGACCTGCCCCAAGCGCCCTTGTATGCATTCCTCAGGAAGAGGGATGCTGTTCTCAGTCTTTCCCTCTTCCCTCTGTGCCTTAAACTAGAGTCAGGCAGCTTCCAGCAGTGCCCTGGGCTTCAGAAGGTGGACACTGAATAAGAAACCCAATCTTATTCATTTTTCTACCCCAGCCCTAGATTAATGCCTGACATATAGGATATGCTAAGAACTAATTTTGTGAATGAATAAATATTACCAATAAATATTCTAAGGTCAAGATTTCGTCAGACTTCAGAAACAAGAGAATGCCCCAATTTAAATGACTCACTGACAGGTAAAAACTTTGAAAAGGAAATGTATTTTCAGACAGATCATCGAAATACTGGATATGCTCTTTTAAATCACAATCTCATGCTAGAGTTGTGTTCCATTAACAACTAACCTACGAGAGGCATGACAGTTGGAGTGGATAATTGAGGTGGTTTGACAGGTATAATGAGGAGTGGCTGAATGCTCACAAGGAAATTCTGGCTTTAGCAATGATTGGATTCATACCTACAATATTAAAAGCATGAAGATTTGGCTAGTCAATTCAAATATTTATTAAGTGTCTAGGCTTAACAATAGTGTATTAGGACATTTTCTATTATAAAAGCAACACATGTTCTTTATGAAAATTTGGGAGTACAAGTCTAACACCTATGGCTTCATTAACAAAGGATTAATATTGTTAACATATTCATGAAATGACTCATTCTGTGGTACCTTAGCCACATTCTTACCATATCTTTTTTTTTTGAGACGGAGTGTCGCTCTTGTTACCCAGGCTGGAGTGCAATGGCGCAATCTCGGCTCACCGCAACCTCCACCTCCTGGGTTCAGGCAATTCCCCTGCCTCAGCCTCCCGAGTAGCTGGGATTACAGGCACGTGCCACCATGCCTAGCTAATTTTTTTGTATTTTTAGTAGAGATGGGGTTTCACCATGCTGACCAGATGGTCTCAATCTCTTGACCTTGTGATCCACCCGCCTCGGCCTCCCATATCTTATGTTATTCTTTTACACTCAACATTACAACATAGACATTTTTATATCTTATTATGGGCTGTATTTTTAATAGCTGTATAATATGCAATTGAGTGGATGTGTCATAATTTACTGAAGTATTCCCACTATTATGTAGTATATTTTCAAGTTTTCGCCATTATAAATAATGCTGGAGTTACTTAAGAATTGTTTGTATTGCATGTAATTTATTCAGAGATTTCCAGATGTGGAATGTCTGAGTCTTTAAATATCTGCTTCATTTGCTACTTTATTCCTAGTCTCTAGAACAATGTGGAAAAAGCTAGCTTGATTTCTAGACACCAAAAGCGTGTCATAGGCATGTCTTGTGACAGGTTCCAGGGAAGACTTTGTCCCCACTTTTTAAAAAAATAATACATTTTATTTTTTAGAGCAATTTTAGGTTCACAGCAGAATTGTGTAGAAAGTACAAAGTTCCCATCTATCCCTATCCCCACACACAGAACCTCCCCAGCTATGGTCATCCTGTACTCCAGTGCAACAGATGTTATAACTGATAAACCCACCGTTAGAGTCCATACTTCAGGATTCACTCTTGGTGCTGTGCAATCTATGGGTTGGGACAAATGTATAATGACAGGTATGCACCATTACAGTGTCATACAGAATAGTTTAACTGCTGTAAAAATCCTCTGTGTTCTATCATCCCTCCCTTCCTGCAACCTGTGGCAATCACTGATCTTTTTACTGGAGGACAATTGTTGAACCATATGGTAAGAGTATGTTTAGTTTTGTAAGAAACTGCCAAACTGCTTTCCAAAGTGGCCATACCATTCTGCATTCCCATGTGGCAGCAGTGAAAAAGAATTCCAACTGCTGGACATCCTTGGCAGCATTTGCTGTTGTCAGCATATTGTTTTGACCATCCTAATAGGTGTGGAGTAGTATTTTATTGTTATTTTAATTTACAATTTCCTAATAACATATGATGGTTGAGCACCTTTTCTTTTCTTTTAAGAGACAGGGTCTCGCTATGTTGCCCAGGATGGAGTGCGGTGGCTATTCACAGGTGCGATCCCACTACTGATCAGCATGGGAGTTTCGACCTGCTCCGTTTCTGCTGGGCCGGTTCACCCCTCCTTAGGCAACCTGGTGCTCCCCCGCTCCCTAGAGGTCACCATATTGATGCCAAACTTAGTGCAGACACCCGATCAGCATAGCACACTACAGTCCAGAACTCGTGGGCTCAAGCGATCGTCCAGCCTCAGCCTCCCGAGCAGCTTGGACTACAGGCACGTACCACCTCACCTGGCTGAGCACCTTTTCATATGCTTAATTGCCATCTATATATCTTCTTTAGTGAGATTATCTGTTAAAATTTTTTGCTTATTTTAAAAGTTGGGTTGTTTTTTTTTTTTTTTATTTTTTTATTTTATTTTATTTTTTTTAATTTTTTATTGGATTATAGGTTTTGGGGTACATGAGCAGAGCATGCAAGACAGTTGCGTAGGTACACACATGGCAGTGTGCTTTGCTTTTCTTCTCCCCTTCACCCACATTTGGCATTTCTCCCCAGGCTATCCCTCCCCACCTCCCCCTCCCACTGGCCCTCCCCTTTTCCCCCCAATAGACCCCAGTGTTTAGTACTCCCCTTTCTGTGTCCATGTGTTCTCATTTTTCATCACTAGTTGGGTTGTTTTTATACTGTTCTGTTTTAAGACTTCTTTGTATGATTTGGATAACCATCTTTTATTATATAAGTGTTTTGCAAAAATTTTACCCAACTGTGTGGCTTGTGTTTTTATTCTCTTAACGAGGTATTTCACAGTGCAGAAGCTTTTAATTTCCATGAAGCCTAGCCTACACATTTTTTATTTTATGGATAATGCTTTTGGTATTCTATTAAAAAATCATCTTTAAAAAAAGGTCATCTAGCTTTTTCTGTGATATCCTATAGGTTTTATAATTTTGTGTTTTGCATTTAGGTCTGTTATCATTTTGAGTTAATTTTTGTGAAAGGTATAGAGTTTTGTCTACGTTTCTTCTTTTTTTTTTTTTTTTTTTGTTGCTTCTGGATGTGCTGTTGTGCCGGCACATTTTATTGAAAATATTACCTTTTCTCCTTTGGATTGTTGCCCTTGCATCTTTTTCAGCAGAATTGATGATATCCGCGTGGGTCTACTTCCAGACTTCTTATTCTGTTCTACTGATCTAGTTATTTATTTTTTGGCTTCTACCACACTGTCTTGTCGTTTTTTAGTAAGTCTCAAAGTCAGGTAGTATCACTCGGTACATTTACTTTTCATATCTTTTCCCCCCCTCTTACAGCTCTAACTAAAACTTCCAGTTCAATTTTGAATAGTAGCAGTAGTAATACTGAGTTCCCCTAGCTTAAAAGAAAAGCTTGTATTACCTCTTTAAATATGATGTTTGCAGAAAATAAATATAATTTTTCTGGTTAAGAACATCCCTTGCTATTTGCTATATGAAATCTTCTTTCATTTTCTTTAGACAGAGTCTTGCTCTGTTGCCCAGGCTGGAGTGTAGTAGTGCAACCTCCGCCTCCTGGGTTCAAGAGAGTCTCGGCCTCAGCCTCCCAAGTAGCTGGGACTACAGGCACATGCCACCACGCTCAGCTAATTTTTTGTGTTTTCAGTAGAGACAGGGTTTCACCATGTTAGCCAGGATGGTCTCAATCTCCCGACCTTGTGATCTGCCTGCCTTGGCCTCCCAAAGTGCTGGGATTACAGGCGTGCACCACCATGCCCAGCCAAAAATTTACATTTGAACAAGCATTCCAGGTTATTCTAGTTCAGGTGGTCCAGGGGTACACACTTTTCAAAAGTAACTAATCTAAAAGAAATACCATGTCCAGCAAGTACTTTCCCATTTTTCAATACTATATACAAATTCTATCTTTGATTCTGATGGACAATGATATACATGTATATAAGAAATTTTTAAAATTAGGTTATCCCTGTTAGCAACTTAGCAATAAAAATGACAAAATACCAAAATGTGAGCATGATTTATTAATACTTACAAAAATTATTTACCAATATAAGTGTTGTCGGGCAGCCGGTTAGCTCAGTTGGTGAGCTCCTGGTGCTCAACCAATGTAAGTGCTGCAGACTAATTTTTATGATCTGATCATAAAATTTAGTTACGTGTGATTAATCTGGGCAGTGGCCCAGATTTGCTGCATTTGTGGACTTTCTCCAACAGTACCCCAGAACGGGAGATTCTAGCAAACCTCAGATCGATATGGAGAAACAGGATGGGATAATGGGTCAAACTGGCCAGAATGGAGCTGAGTTTACCAGCTGTAGAATTTCAGCAGGTCCACTTGACAGAAAGAGAGGCTAACTAACTTTGTGGGAGTTAGAAGTCCAAATTTGTGATGCCTACAGCATGTATGAGTGAGGCACGGTTAAAGCTGAATGCCAATCTTTATGAGAGAAGTAGAGGGAACATGTACTGCCAAGGATCTGACTTCACTCCCAGAATAGTAATCAGATTGTCATCCTCAAGAAGTAAGCATAGTTCCTAAGGAGGAAGAAAGTTCCTTCTGCTGCATTAATGTCATCTTTCATACAAAATCAATGTGAAGAACTGCATCCATGTTCAGCCTCAATGATACACAATGTGTGACAATTACTCAAGTGACTTAAATGATTTCCAGACCACAGTGCCACTTTTCTTACATATATGTAAGGGAGTCACCTACTGTCAAAATATAATCTGACAGCTACAAATTCTCCCATCGCCCCACCTCCCAGCTACACAACTGCATAAACTTAGCTGTAGTAAGTTAGATGAGAATTTTGCAGAATTTAAGAAACTGACATTAAAAAAAATGGAGGGGGGGAGTGGAAAGGAATAGTCCACACCACCCTGTATCCTTTGCAAGTTGGAAAATATTCATTAAGCACTTACCTGTTACGCATTGCAAGTCTCAAAGAGAATCCTGGTATGCTGGAATTAGTAAGGCAGTTTATAATAACAAATGCCCCTGCCAATTTCCTTCTTAGTGTTTTTGGTAATGCTATTTCTTCCTGAATTTATCTTTGCCTGTCTCGATCTTACCTAGACCGTAAACTCAGCTAAGTCTTACATCCCCCATGAAGACTCTGCATATCTCCAGCCTGTTGCAGCCTCTCCTGCTTGGACCTTTGACCCTCTGCTTCATCCCAGAGGCACACTCCTGTGGGAACTCCCTCATACATACGCTGTAGATAGCAAAAGCTAGCGCTTACCATATGTCAGCACTTTTGTACCAGCTTCCTTTTACTAACTCATTTAATTCTCATATTAACTCTATGAGGTGATTACTATTATAATCCCCATTTTTTAAAAGAAGAAACTGGGGCCTAGAGAAATTTTTAAAAAATTGTTCAAGGTCCTTAAGGTTATTAAGCAGTAGTGTCAAGATTTAAACCCAGGATCTGCATTTCCAACTTATTTGTAAGCACTTGGTGGACAAGAACTATGTTCTAAAATTCTTTTGACGTTCCCACATTGCCTAGCTAGTGCTAAGATCTTAGGGACTGATGTTCATAGTTTTATTACAGTTTACTAATTTTCCAGGAAATCAGAAGACCTAAGAAAGGAGGTAGATTCTCCTCCATTAAATCAGGCTGAATAAAGAAAACAAATTTGGCAAGATACTACAGCATTAATAGGGAACTTGTACTAACCATGTACTATAAGCCTGGCACTGTGCTAAGCATTTTTACATATTAATTCTTACAATAAGCCTTTTCAGAGAAGTACTGTTATATATATCTTATAGATGAGAACGTTAAAGCACAGAGGGGTGAAGTAACTTGCCTAAGGTCACACAGATTCTAGCCTATGTTTAACCTCCATGCTGTCATCTTGCACCTACTGTGTAAGAATGCTTATTTACAAGGGGATTTAGAAATTGCAGCAAATTTACCATGAGGAAGATGACCTTCTCCCATAGAACAATGGCTCCTAATTTTGTAGAATTGGTACAGGAGGGCGAATGTTCACAGAAGGATTGTATATTCCCAACTATTAATGTCTCTTTCCCTTGGAGATCTCGAGTTACTGCTGCCATCACTGAACTGACCTCATGGGGGCACTGCTCCCAAACCCGCAGCAACCCTGAGGCAAGGCTGGAACATTTAAAACAGGATTTACTGAAGTCCAGGGTAATAGGACAAGTGCACAACATAGAGCACCACAATCTGGTTACAAGATGTGGCTTGCTCTCCAAGGCTTGAACAAAATAGATATTTTGGATCTTTCTTCCTTCAGTGGCTCCATTCTTATGTTTATGACAGAAGAGCAATCGTCCGGCACCTTTCCTCTTCAAAGCCAAGCCCCTAGAGAGCGGGGTGCAGGAAGAGGTGGAAGTTTCCAATGGTGAGAATTTCTATTTCCTTTGTCAAGGACTGGCACTTCTACATCTGATGGACATTGTAGATGGCCACTCTCTTCGGGAGATGCCTCCCGCTTCAGCTCCTAGCTCCAGGAACAGGACCTATTCTTAAGCCTTGCTCCTCATTATGGTCTGAATGTTTGTGTCTTCCCAAAATGCATATGTTGAAACCTAATTCCCAAAGTGATGGTCTTAGGAAGTAGAGTCTTTGGGAGATGATTAGGTCAGGACTGCTGAGTCTTCATGAGTAGGATTGGTGCCCTTATAAAAGAGACCCCAGGCCAGGCACAGTGGCTCACACATATAATTCCAGTACTTTGGGAGGCCAAGGCAGGAGGATCACTTGAGTTCAGGAGTTCAAGACCAGCCTGGCTAACGTGGTGAAACCCCATCTCTACTAAAAATACAGAAAGTAGCTGGGCATGGTGGTGGGTGCCTGCAGTCCCAGCTACTTAAGAGGCTGAGGCAGGAGAATCACTTGAACCTGGGGTGGTGGAGGTTGCAGTGAGCCAACATCATGCTACTACACTCCAGCCTGGGTGACAGAGCAAGACTGCATCTCACAATAAATAAATAAATAATAAATAAGGCCCCAGAGAGCTGCCTTGCCCCTTCTACCATGTGAAGACACAGCAAGAAGATGCCATCTATGAATCAGAAAGTGGGCCCTCATCAGATATCAAATCCGCTGATGCCTTGATCTTAAACTTCTCCAGAACTGTGAGAAATGAATTTATGTTCTTTATAAGCTACTCAGTTTATGATATTGTGTTATAGCAGCTGAAACAGATAAAGACATACCTCAGCTGGACACCATAATGTCTAACTAGCCTATATAACATATTTACATGTACAGAAATCGGTACAAGTAATAGCTGGGCACAAACCAACTCCTTTGGTCAGGGTATCAAGAGATGAAAGGAATCCTTGCACCCAAATGTCAAAGAGTTCAAGAGAAGCCAAGAAGGTGAAGAGGCTCTTGCTAGGAG